ACGTAGTTATTGCATGAAAAAATACTAAACAATAATGCGCAGAATAAAAGGACTTAAGCACCGCATACCTTTTTATCCTTCGTTCCCTTCAGCTTCACATCAACTTTCATTGGACTCTGACAGTTCAAGCACATCAGCGATCGCGTTTCGGTTGCCATTTCTAAGATGGATAACACTATCTTAGCATGATAAGAAATGGAGACAAAACTTCAAAAAGCATTGTATTTCTACAAATCTTATAAATTTTCAGGAAGAAAACTTAAGGGATATTTCCTCGCAGAATGTTAAAAGTCCGTATAAGAAGTAAGACTACGAAATTGAGTAAATCTTCGAGACAATTAGTCAAAAAGAGGAAAAAGCGATGACAACAGCTGAGAATGAAACAAATGACGCGTCATTCGTCTAACGCAAGTCGCAACCGGTTTCGCGGCGCGACGTCGCTCGTCGCGATTTCGAACATTCTAGCAGTAAGTACGAAATTGACTCAGGCTTTATGTATGCTATGAGCAATAAGAAGTTTTGAAATAGCTATCCAACCAGCTAGAGAAATAATAAGAAAGAATAGTTCCCAAATGATTCCATGAATTTTAGAAGCACGCATTTTACGGATAAACAGTAGACGTACACCGAGATGTCGATTATCTTTTCAACTAGTAACGCCTGATCAGCCAGAATTGTCTGCAATTCAATGCATCTACAGAGGTAATCACGTGTGCAAGACTCTCGCGAAGCATGTGCAATTGCGGCCTGGGTCAATTTAGGCCGAATGGGCTGTAAAATATGTGCGAATCAGCGCAATATACAGTTGATTACTCAGGCTGCGCCCATAAACAAGGTCGCTGAAAAACGGCTTATGGAACAAAACACCAAGTTTTTCCAAATTCAGAATTGCGACCAATTCCTGGGTCTTGATTCATTTTTTACTGAGGGGTTTTTGTGTGTGGTGGATCTTAACTTTTACGCGTTACATCCATGGGACGTCCAATCTTCCTAGAGATAAATTTTATTACTTTCTTCAAATAACTTCCCCATGAGGCACACAGAACGGGTTACATAGCGGACCTCATCCTTCCAAACTAACCAAATAACCGATACAGGATTAAATCATTGCAAAAAAATTTACAGAATATAAACTGTGAGTATTACGAACAAACATGACAGTTTGTAAGAATTAATGACAGAGAACTCTTTCATTTATTCAATCTAAATCTGAGAAGTACTGTTAAGTAAGCAGATGATAAATGGAA